TATATATATATATATATATATATATATATATATATATATATATATATATATATATATATATATATATATATATATATATATATATATATATATATATATATATATATATATATATATATATATATATATATATATATATATATATATATATATATATATATATATATATATATATATATATATATATATATATATATATATATATATATATATATATATATATATATATATATATACATTATATATATATAGTTGAAGTCAGCATTATTAACCCCCCATTTATTTTTTTATTTTTTTTATATTTCTCAAATTATATTGACTAGTGCAAGACAACTTTTACAGTATGTCTGATAATATTTTTGTCTTCAGGAGAAAGTCTTATTTGTTTTATTTGTTTTATTTCGGCTAGAATAAAAGCAGTTTGAATTTATTAAACACCATTTTAAGGACAGAATTATTCGCCCCTTTTAAGCTATTTTTTTTCAATAGTCTACAGAACAAACCATCGCCATACAATAACTTGCCTAATTACCCTAACCTGCCTAGTTACCATAATTAACCTAGTTAAGTGTTTAAATGCCACTTTAAGCTGTATAGAAGTGTCTTGAAAATATCTAGTAAAATATTATTTACTGTCATCATGGCAAAGATAAAATAAATCAGTTATTAGAGATGAGTTATTAAAACTATTATGTTTAGAAATGTGTTGAAAACATTTTCTCTCCATTAAACAGAAATTGGGGAAAAATAAACAGGTGGGCTAACAATTCAGGGGGGCTAATAATTCTGACATCAACTGTATATATATATTTATTTGTATAAAATAATTATATATATTTACTTTATATTTTTCCAGCTGTTGTGATTTTAATACACATGAAATAGGAAGATCAGACAGAAAGTGTGGATTTATGTAATGATTTATTTGTGGTTTACCGGCAGACATGGCCATGGTTGTTCCGGCCACCATGCCCATGGCCACCCCATTGGAACGTGGCGCGGGCACCGGAGCAGGGTAGATAGCGGAGGGGATGCTGTTGGGCTGCACCACGGTGGTGTGGTGGATGACGTGAGGCTGAGCTGCATACACCGGCTGTGTGAAATAAGCACCCTAAGGAGAAAAACGCACACACAAACATTACAGCACACACACACAGCTGACAATCAACAGATATATGACAAGTGCAGTGCTGTATGTTCCAACACAGTACATATTACTGCAGTGTTTGCTATGGTACTGAATCTGTGTTACTACCATTACGCTAAATGTTACACTATATAATTAAAATACATTTAAAATAATTGAATGAAAAACTTTGCTTAATGTTATTTTTTTATTTTATTTTATTATTTGCCGGTTGAATCTATCTAATATTTACATTTTATTGTATTTTTACATACAGCTTTTACTATTTAACCAATTTATTTAAGCATGTTTTAGTACTCAAGCTTGTGCAATTTTATTTATTTAATTTAATTAATTTGACTTGATTTTACTTCAGTTCCTAATTGCTAATAAGTAAAACAATTTAAGTAAATAAAAATAAATAAATAAAAGCCATAGAAATTAAATCTAACAACAAATGAATATTTTTTAATTACTAAAACTATTATTAAAATAAATGCTAAACTGTACATATAAAAGCTAACTTAAAATAATTATAAGTGCTACAAAGGTGTAAAGTAAAATTAAAATTGCACTATAGTAGCATCATAATACATTTTGATACTCAAACAACATTTCCAGTCTATTATTTGACATGAAGCATTTGAGCAAAACAGAATATTCTGAGCAAATAAATCAGCCGATTCTGCTGGTAACTCAGTCATTATTTGATATCATTATATAAATATTTTTTGAGGAATGCTAACCAAGTGTAAATGTGTCTGCCAAATGCATAAACACAACTGTTAGCAATATTTTAAGCCTCTGATGCATTCTGGGCTGTTTTGATCTGTTAAAGATACATAAAAAGGTTCTACAGAAATACATAGTTTAAGTAAAGAAAAACATGTTCATCAGATGCTTTAAAACCCTCAAAATACCCAAAGAGAGATTTTTAAATTATATAAATGTGTCATTTTGAACATAAGTATGTATTAAAAATACTTTTGTAAAATGATCTCAGGGTTAAAGGTGTTTTAATAAACATATATTGCCACATAATCATACTGTTTTGTAAGAAATAAACATAAATATGTACAATAGGTAGGCTTTATAAATCTGAACTGAGTAATTATGAATTCTAGTGAGGTTAATAATTAATTATAATGTCCTACAATGGTATATATTTAAATAATATCTCAAGAAACTAAAATTTTAAATGTGCATATACAGTGCTCAGCATAATTGAGTACACCCTATTTTGAAATTGAATATTTGTATTCATTTCTCAGAGAATATAGGCAATTTATTTTGGTGCATTTGAACAAAACAGATTTAAAATATAAAATTTATATATATAATATATAATTAAGTTTCAAATAATTCTCTTTTTATCATAAAAAGGCAATAAATAGACAAATACCAAGGTGAAAATGAAGTAACATTCAATACCGTTTTCCACATTCTCTCGATTGTGGCGATTATATATACATACATACATACATATATATATATATATATATATATATATATATATATATATATATATATATATATATATATATATATATATAT